GGCCGCAACACCAAGTCTTCGGGCCCTGTGCCTCCGTCGCGAACGCTAGTTCTCGATAATGGCGCGTCGACCATCAAAGCAGGCTTCGTTTCCGACGACCACACCGACGAGCCCCGAGTAATACCAAACTGCATCGCAAGAGACAGGGCGAGAAAGGTCTACGTCGCATCCGACCTCGAAAAATGCCATGATTTTGGCGAAATCCAATTCCGGCGACCGGTAGAAAAGGGGTACATTGTCAATTGGGAAGCTCAAAAGGAGATTTGGGACCACGAGTTCTTCGACGACAAGGCGCCGCAAAAGTGCGATCCTTCCGAGACTAGACTGCTCCTTGCAGAACAACCCAATTCGTTGCCTATTCTACAGGCCAATTGTGATCAGATAATATTTGAGGAATATCAGTTTGCCAGTTATTATCGTGGCATTGGTATGTGGCTTAGCCTCTTGCACGTCTCGTTGACTTAGCTGACCTTTGTCTTCCCAGGCGCCTCCTTCAATACGTACCACGATATCCAAGGTATCCTTCAGACCCCCCGAGACCCGAATTCGGTGCCCCAAATTCCGGCCGAAGCTGTGCTGCTCATCGACTCTGGTTACTCTAATACTATCGTCATGCCTCTTCTTAACGGCAAGCCCCTGCACTCCGCCGTTCGAAGACTGGACGTCGGTGGGAAGCTCATGACAAATTATCTGACGCGTTTACTCTCTCTGCGATACTACGACATGCGAAACGACACGTACATCGTCAACGAGATCAAGGAACAGGCAAGCTATGTCTCGCTCGACTTCAATGGCGACCTCGAGAAGACATGGAAGGGCACGAGGGGCGAGAAGAGGGAACCATACGTGACAGGAGCCGGCATTGCCAAAGACTACATACTGCCTGACTTCCACACCAAGACGAAGGGCGTCGTCCGAGACTACGACCCTGCTATGCACACAAAAGCAAGAAAGATGGCAGCACGCGCTGCTGACAACGACGAAGACATACTCACGCTTCGAAACGAACGCTTTTCAGTTCCCGAACTACTCTTTCAGCCTTCTGATATTGGACTCCGACAACCCGGCCTCGCGGACGTCATCATGCAGTCCCTTTCCGAATTGCCAATTGGACTTTGGCCGGGGCTCTTGGCTAACATCGTTGTCGTTGGCGGCAACGCCTTGTTTCCTGGCTTTATCCAGCGGCTAGAGAAGGAGCTTGTCAAGAGAGTTCCTGATGCCTGTATTGTGAGGGTAGCGCATCCCGTCGACCCTATCACGAGCACCTGGCATGGCGGTGCCAAACTGGCCAACCACTCCGATATTCACAAGCTGTCTGCCACTAAACAAGAGTATGAAGAGTACGGCGGCGCATGGGTTGCTCGCAAATTCGGCTGTGGAAACACGAGTGTCTGAATTATCACTATTCCAAGCACCAACCAGAGCGGTTGGTCAATCAAACAGCCCTAGAATCATCACATCCCTGTATGCCCTGTGGGTGTACATCGCAAGTCTATGGAAACAAAAGCAGACTCCATCCCGGCCTCAGAACAGTCGAATATTTCTTGAGTATTTCAGACAGATCGCTCCACGATGCCATCTGCCACGGGTATTTATGTTTCGAGCTTTCGTCGATACGTTTTGGCCGAACAAGGATTCTCGTCCCCGACGATATGTCATGTCTTTACAGCCATTAGTATCGACCATGCCTTTTGTCCATGTCGGTACGGCTGTGGGCATACTATAGACAACCTACTTCGAGCCAATAGCTTCGCACCGTTCCAGGCATTCTGCGGTGCCAACCGCAGCACCAGTCCCGACAGCCGGGATGTCTCGTCGTAGCTGTGCAAACTTTGCTGACAGCGGGTTTCCTCCAAACGCTGCTGCCACTACACTTGGAGGAAGATCGAAGAGACCATTGGCCACATTATGGGTGCCGGCGTCTTCTGAGCTCAGAGCCGAAATCAGAGTAGCATTATCGCAACCTAGAGTGGTGAGCATGGAACAAGATATGGAGGCTTGTAATGAAACTCACCTGTGTTTTGCATCGTGTGCAGACTACCTTGGGGAAAGATTGTCATCATCCCGGGCGCCAAAGTTGTCTTCACCACCCGAGCCCCATTCTCCAGCGTCATGTAAGTCTCGGTAGTCCCCTCGACGGAAACCACGTAGTTGGAAGCACGAGCGTGGTAATGCGGCGGCAGCATAGCGCAGGGACCGAGACTGATCCAAGCCATGGTCAAGCCATTGCCAACAGTTGCTGGGAAAGTCACGGCATTGGCGTTGACGACGCCCCCGGGGCTGTTGGTGTGGTATTCGTGGGCGAAGTAGTTGAACGTCCAGTCTTTATCTTCGGGTAAAATATCAAGCTTATCAAGTTCTGATGGACTTGTCCTCAGCGATCGAACAAGATCTGGGTACAGTGTGTTGTCTGTGGCGTAAATGAAGGCGGCAAATAGACACAGTAACAAGAGGGAGGAAAGCCGGGTTGGCGACGGGGCGGAAACGGCCATGTTGGACGAGGTGGATAAGGTTGAGGCGTCCAGAAGGCGTCCAAGTCTGTCTTGAAGATGCCGTTTCGAGATCGATCGTCCTCCCTCCGGCGAACCGGGATAAAGCGAACTTATACTGGCTCGTGAGGCTCATTTCAGTGGCCAGGTAGGACGCCTAGATCCTTGGAGGTCACCACGAGACTTCAGGGAGTGCCATGGCAACGGAGTAGTCTCCGTTTGAAGTGTAGGCCAATAGGACATAGTAAAAGGGCACAGAAAGCCATCTACTGGGATCTCATCTCACTTTCTCGAGGCCAATGCCGTTACTCTAGGTTTGCGATCACGAATTCCTCCCCACGCAGCGCACGATCGACAATGACCTCCATGTCGTCTAACCTGAGAATGGTGGGAGACGAGGCAGGGTCTCGAGAATAGGAGGACCCTGAGAAAGCACAGAAACCTGAATATCTTGTGCTAGGAGACGGTGCGACTTGCCACGTCCTCTCACAGCTGGTATGCTTGCACCAGTGACAGTCAGGGCCAAGCTGTTCAACCGGTCAGGACGGAGACGGTGACTCTGGCTACAACGGGCACTCGAAGAAAGGATCTCCTCGGGCTGGCGTATCAATACAAGGACTAATGACAGTCCCATTTTTGTCGAGAGCTTCCAATCGTCCCTATATTCTTGCTTGCCTACGTATTCATGTCATCATTGAAGGTGTGCGTGCTATGAACAAAAAGTCTCAACTTGGCGTGTGACTAGAAGTGTCCACAGGATCGTCCCAGATGATAAAATTACGCCAGAGAAAGAGCGGAGAGGAAGCGAAGCACTGTTGTTTTTGTCCAAGTAAGCTCGTGATACCGTCACTCCGCAGCTTTTCTATCTCGTGCAGCAAGATTTCCCCCACGTTATCACAAGCTACTCTATAAGGCCCTGCTCCTACAATACCGTATAGCTCTATCCTTCCACTTGGTCACTATACTATCTCATTCCATCGGGTGATACGGAGAGAAGGGTCTTGACCTGTGGGCGCAGTAAAGTGTGGCTCCTCGAGAGCCTCATAGTCGATGTGACGGCCTATGTCGGAGCATACCTTGAAGCTATCAATCCAGGCATATGGTAGGTGCTCAGCATCACACTAGGGGACTTGTATACTTTCACTAAACTAAGATGGAAGCATTCACGGATGGCCCGAGGTTTGTGGCTCGTGACGACGACTGAAGTTTGAGGCAAACTGTCATGCCAAATGCCCGTGAAACAGACTGTCTATTTCCGGAAAAGATCAGATTGATCAGCTGGGTGACATCACACTGTAGTGGAAGCATCTCTACCATCTCCTTACCGAACAATGTCTTCCTTCCTGACGCGATATATCGTTGACGGTCACGGAACTTGATTTGACTTGAATCAGCAGGAGAATGAATTGAGGAGACGACGACTGAGACTCACTAAAGCCCGAGGAAAGAGGCTAACTAGCGAGGACACACTAATGGGGACAGTCTCTCCTATGAACGGGGATGGCAGTCAAATCCGAACAACTGCCTATGGAAGTCACCTGCAGAAGTGTCACCATTACAACACAATCTGGCTAGAAACGGGACATAGAAAGTGGTTGTAAAAGAGTTGGGATTGAGGTCAAAGGTCATCTAATACCACTAAACCATTGGCAATCAACGCCTCAAACGCTTTGCTTCAAGGGTATCTCACAAACGATGAAAGCGCTCGGTGACGTGGCGAGAGCTCGCCGGCTCTCCAAATGTAGCCCATGCAAAAAATCAAACAGTACACAAGTTGGACTTGCGAGACAGGCTGTAAATCGAGATGCAAAGCTGACAAGAAGGACTTGGGAGCGCCGCTTTGCCGCGCCTGAAGGTGGAAGTATGAGGAACGTCCTGGAATTTTTCAATCCCAAAACTGCCACTAGACTTCAGCTTCGGTTGGTCTCAACTCAAACCCCGTGGGTTGCGGTGACTGACCGGCGATCGGCGTCTGTCGTTTCGCCCGGATGACACCCCCCTTAAAGGTGTCGCAAGAAGCGACCACGGCTCGAACACCCTACGGAAAGAGTTAGCGATCTGAACGCGTCAACGAGGCTGCGGGGATCGGACAGTCACACTGTGAACGTTAGCCAAGGCACAAGAGATCCCGTTCGTCAGAAGCGGTCTTACGAAAGTTGAGGTTGACCCCTCGTTGTGAACCAAGCAGTAGCCACCGCAGCAGCCTCTACAGAGCCTCTGTGTACGATCAATGCAGTCGGAACACTGTTTTCTTGTCATCAGCTTGGGTCTCGTCGAAGAAGAACTTGGGTCTAGAATCGCCTCTTACATTGCTACCGCATTCCCAGCAGCTTTTTGTGATACGAGCCTAAGGTTGGTGACCTGTGTTAGCATCATCGGGTTCCCGATCGTGAGGCATACTCTTCGCTAGATTACGGAAAGTCAAGGGGGACGAAGAAGGGGAGGACGACGAATAGCATTGTGGCATACACTTTGGAACAGGCCGGGCCAGACGGCAAAAGGACGTCCGACTCAGCCCAGCAACACCCTCTGCGCATCAATGACCTCGCCCATGGTGCAGTCTGGGAAGCAGGCGCCATTTCGTACCTTGATCTTGGGCTGGCTCTCGTGCTCTTGGTGCTGGACCCAAGCACCGCCCTCGGCATCGACAACGATCACATCGGTGTCGGCCAGCTCGGTCACGGTGCCGGGTGTCTGGTAGCATTCCTCGCACCACCACTTGTTGCAGCCCGCGCAGTATCTCTCTCGCAGGCAGTCGATGCATCGAGCGACGAAGGACGTTTCCGATCCGGTGCAGAGCTGCGGTGCCGTTGCGGCCTTGGCTGACGATGCCAGGAGAGGCGGAGGAGACAGGAGAGGACGTTGAACCGCCGGAGTCCCGCTGTGGACTGACATGCCTTCGGGTGCAGCACCACAACCAGCACAACCGCCTAGGGCGACTGTCGCCACAGCCCAGTGCCGGGCTGAGGCCGGGGTTCTCACCTTGCCGTAAGCAGGCGAGTTCATATGGTGAGGTCCGGCGCAAGCAACTGCATCGAAGGCAATGATGCCGTGGCAGTCAACCAGAGTGTTGGCCCACTCCTCGACCAGCGGACGTGCGATGATGCGGCCTTTCCTATGGTACCAGTCCTCTTCCTCGCTTCGAAGCGATGATGTCAACGCCTGCTGCGACTTGGCATTCCACCCTGCGCTGATCTGCGCTGCGTGCGAAGCGGTGCCAGAGGGTACACCGGGTGCTGCTAACGAGGGCAGCGGAGTGTCCTTGGCACCGAAAACGTAGAGGCCCTTCAGCCGGGGCATTCCCTCTGGCCGCGATGGTCTGCAGGCATACTGAAGAGATGCGCATAGCTTGCGCTCGTTCAGGTTCTTGACGCCGCGGATGGACAAGAGTCGGACGTTGTAGGATGGGTCGAAGATGATTTCGTGGCAGAGCTCAGCCGTTACGGACAAGCCGTCTAGGATCAGCGTCTGGACATCTTGGAGGATGTTCTGTCGGCGGATGCCTGAGAAGATGCCTCTCAACGGCCCGGAGTAAAAACTGGTGAGAATGGCGCGTTAGTCGAGCCGTTCTACAACACCACCGTCGGCCCTCTCCGGCATCCCCACCGCGTCTAACTGGCCGCGACCGGGGGTATTAGGGAGAAGAATGTCACCGACGGTGGTAGGAGGTGAAGTGGAGTAAGGTAGAGTGGACGCACTCATCTTCGGTCAGATTCTCATCAAGTTGGACATTGCGCCAGACTTCACCACCGCGATCAATGCCGTCGAATTCAAACTGCGCCGCGCGTACGTGGGTCAGATCAAGATGGCGGAATACGCCAGAGGTGTGTTTGATCAGTTCTCGGAATGCTCGGCTCGTGGAGGCAAGACTCAGGCGATCATAAGCGGAGAGGTGAGGAGCTGTGTGGGCGAGGATGAGAGGATTGGACAGGAGATGGAGGAGATTGGTGACCGAATTCTGGTAAAGCGTGTAGGCGTCCTCGACGTCCTGGAGCATGTTACGGCGAACGCGCGCGAAGGGTGCAAACGTGGGAGCAGAGACGAGGTATTACGCGACGGCCGTAAACCTCGAGGGTCTGCGGCGATCAGTCTAGAGGTTAAGAGGTGGTGAGGGTGTTGCAAGACAGCAAAAGAGAGGCCGAGAGTCAGAAAGCTAAGTAGGTAGAAGGATGGCCGTCGAGGGAGGACGGGCAGAAATCGGTCGTAAGCGCAATCGCAATCGGGACCTGGTGTCAGACTGATGATGCTCACTGTTTATATGGGAAGATAAGAGCTTTCGGCTTGGTAAGGTAGAGATCTAGACTGCTAGACCAGAGACGACTTGGGGCGGACGAAGTGTCGGTCTAAATATCTACAGCATCGAGCCCTGACTGGTACAAGACAGAGGACGGTGGACTACGTAGTGTCCGGGCAAGACAAGAAACGTGGGAGTCTATCCTTAGCTTTGCGGTGAAGAGGTACCCCGTCACGCCGTCAAGCAAGGCAAGACAGGGAACTTTGGAAGTAATAGATGTACATCGAGCAAGGGACCTTGGGGGTCAACCGCAGCGTACGTACAGTCAACAAGATACGCCGAGAAATGCAGCACGGGCAAGCTAGAGCTGTGCAGGCTAGACCGGTCCAAGGTCCAAGTGGACGGTCGTCCAGATTGCCCACACACCCGCCCCGTGCCATCATCCACGTCCCATAGGATATAGCTACCTACCCACGTCCCTCCCCCTCCCATCCGGGCCTTCGCACCGTAGTGGCTGGCACGAAGCGAATAGCGGAGGGCAGGTAGAGACGCAAGAGTCACAAGTGCTCCCACTATCCACTTGTTGCTCGCGTTTGGCTTCCCCAGAAGCTTGCAGGGCAGGTATTATCGGCAGAAGGTGGTAGCGTGGGTGGTAGTGTAACCGTGTAGCATCCATCTGGGGTTGGCCCGGTTGGGTCGACCGTCGGACCCTGAAAGAGAGGATCGGCCGTGTCCAGTCAATGGAGCCATTTGTGGCAGACGGGGGGCAAAGAATAGTGCGGTTGAAACGGAAGAGCTTCAACCCGCCGCCTGGTGCGGTCTTGGCGACTGCAGAGCAACAAAGAAGGTCCGCTGCGCTGGCACCTTGACATTGGTGTTGGGAATCTCTCCAAAGTATCCGTATGTCGCATTTTGCTACTCGGTACCCTACTCCGTGCCAAGCATGCAGGCGTTTATGCGCCCTTGCTGACTTTGAGCGGGAGCTTGGGAAGAGAGAGAGAGGGTGTACGTAGAGTCAGGAAAGCTAATAAGGTACGGACCGAAATGTGAGGCACTGAATGGGGGGTGATGTGTATGGAAACTGCCTGAACCTTGGGCGAAGGCCCGAAGGGTTGTGGAAAGGGGGTGGGGGAGGATTGGGGGTGATGATCCGAGTTAGGGTGTGTTGTTGAGTTCTGGTGAGGTGCGATGAGATGAGACGAGTTGATGAGGCGTACCTACAATAAAGTATGATTGCTTCATTAGGTCAGGTGTGTTGACATCTTTTCCATCAAAACAAGACACCGAAAACCGAGATTGCAGATCTAACAATGTTTGATTGTCAAGACTAGATGGGGTTTGACTCTTGAGTGAGCCCAGATGCGCATAACCGCTCTGTCTCGTCCGAGATAACCGGGAGGATCTGTTAAATGATTGCGCGACATTCGTACGGCTATGGAGAGACAAGAACAGGTCTCTCCGGTCACGCTGAGCATCATCCTATCACTATGTACGGTCAAGTACGGATACAAGCGCAGTTTCTTGACTCCCTCATCAGGATGACGCTCTCATCTCATCCCGCCCCGTCAAGCTCCATCCCGCACAAGAATGAGGTCTGCGGAATCCAAGCTCCAATGAAGGTTGTCGAGCTGGGCATGTCTTGAAAGTGTTACATGACCAAATTAGCCGCTCCAACCGCTTAAACCTGCCATGATTGAGTGGGGATCGCTGGGCTGGCTGGTTCGGTAGGTACCTAGATTATTGAAGCCCACCACCATCTGCACAACAGCACGACTGCCGCAGCGCAAGCTTGTTGCTGGTTCGCTGTTCGGTGTTCCTGGCCGAATCAAGTACGAAAGCTTGGTTGGGGATGACTTTGCCGGAAATGGTAACTTTGATCCCATCCCCAAGGTCACTGAACCAAAGGCGCGAGGTATTCCAACCTCACATAGGCTGCATATGGTACAGCAGCTCCGCTTCGTCGGGTTGCACTAGTCATTATCAACGAAAGCGTTTCGTGGGGTAATGACCAGATGCCAGTTGGATTGTTTCCCTCTAGCAGTCTCACGGGTGGCCACACATGGTCCGTACAGGAGGAATACACTCCTTCAGGCTCTGGTGGTGCCGCCTTTGACTTTTGGCTGTCAACCGCCGATAAGGTGGCGCCCTAGCACAGCGGGATGTTCCTTGGCCGGTTCGACTCGAACTGCTCATTTCATTATGCCCGCTTTGCGTATCTCGGGTCATGCTGCCTCATCCTGAAGTTGCAACTCGCAGCGGAGCGACTGTGCGTGTACGCCTGTCCGTGCCTCTGCCTCGAGAGGTCCCATGTCTACCTCATTGCTCGGTACGGAGTTGTGAATTGCTGCAAAGACGTTGGATAGTGTCGAGCAAGCTGGGGAAGCACGGGGAGCTGCGAGTCGCGAGTATCCATACCTATTGTGTACTCCGTACGGAAGACAGTACATAGGTAATTAGGTGGTAGGCTAGAGGGGGTTCCCATGCCTATTTTGGGTACTGTTTCGGCGCGCTGATCAGCTAGCCAGCCCTGCTCCGGGGGGCACGGAGTGACAGTCCGGAGTCGCGGAGTCGGGAGTTTTGGCCACATTTGTTTCTGCTGGTTTTGGTGAATGGGGAACCCCAATACCTAGTAGAAGCATGAGTGACACCAGTACCTGCCAGCATGAGGAGTCAAGGACTCAGGTAACAGGTTGCGTTGCAGTGGTTGAGTGCTCAGTGGTTCAAGTGTTTGGCGAGTTGTGATATGAGGCTTCTTGGCAGACGCACATCATGATTCAGCTTTATTTAGCATTGGTTGAGTGGTATTGGTTTTGTCTTGGTTTTCTGGTTGCGCGTAGAGTATTGGTCAAGGGCGTGCGCAGAAGATTATTGAACCGGCAATGTGCCAATGCCCATGGACTCGCTTTTGTAATTGAGAAGGTCTGAGAAGCTTCCCATTTGGACTCTTGGAGGCTTGGAGCCTTGAGCGTGAAATGTGTTTAGTAAGCATTTCTCTCGTTTCGGGTCCCACCTTACCAAGTAGGTCGGAGGTCGGCCAAACTGTCCCGGATCCGACTGTTCACTTCGATGCTGCCCACCTTAGGTAAGCAGCACAGTACCTACCTAAGCTAGGTAGAACTTTGGTAGGTAGTTAGTTGGAAGTTGGTGGAGAGTCAGATACGAAATTGAGGCGCGAGCTGACCAGAATGGGATTAGGAAAATGTGGCGCGGATCTATGTACCTCTGAGGACCTTAGGTACCTCATTCGGCTTTCCAGGTCCATTGCGAGAGGCGGCCCACATCATGTCGTCAGCAAGTCAACCTGGAGCTTGTTGATTTACTGTGGAATCTAGAAGAACCCAACCAGCTTGCTGATTCATCGACAGTGTCGCCATGAGACTTCCCAGATAACAACACAAACCCTACCCTGGAATTTACTTGCTAAACCTTCCCCAGATGCCTTTTCACGGCCTGGGTCACCTCGACTTCAATCCGCCGGCCATGCCCAAATACAGCAACTCGATCAACAGTCCCTTGAGCAGATAACGTGGTCGTTACCCCTCCACCCCACCTTACCCTCAGCGACGGCCGACGCGTCGAACAACGAGACTTACGATACCTTACTCAAGATTTACCACCCTACTCTGACTAGGACGAGACTCCGCCACGCCAATATGGAGAACGAACAACCCGAGTTGAAGTGGTCTGCACCATTTGCGGTTGTGCCTCCCATCAAATCTGCCTCGAGAGACTTGCGCGGTGACAAGATCCTACTTCCCCAGTCCGCCCTCGAGCAACTGCTTGCAGCGTCCCCGAGACCACCCGCGCCCTCCAATTCGACATTCACTTCCTACGATCCCTTCAATCCATACGCGCGACAGCAGCAGCAGAGCCTCTATCATGAAACCTCCCAGCAACTGCCGAACCCTTTAATGTTTCGGCTGGTTAATCAAAAGAACGGAAATACTGTATACGCCGGTATCCGCGAATTTTCGGCCGAGGAAGGGGAAATTGCGCTGGGCCCATATCTCATGGATGCTTTAGGGCTACTCCCTACTGACTTTTTTGACGATTCCCTCCCAAAAGAGCCATCTGAATCGACATCTGGCATGGTTCTCAATACTGAACCACGGTTGATGGTCCACGCCAAGCAACTACCCAAGGGCACCTACGTCCGGCTCAGACCACTCGAAGCCGGCTACGATCCCGACGACTGGAAGTCACTTCTCGAACGCCAGCTACGCGAAAGCTACACAACACTCACAAAGGAAACGGTTTTATCTGTGCGCGGCGTCAAGGGCGAAGACTTCAAGTTCCTGGTCGACAAATTCTTGCCAGAAGGTGACGGCATTTGCGTGGTTGATACGGATCTGGAAGTGGATATTGAGGCTTTGAATGAGGAGCAGGCTCGCGAGACTATGCGCCAGATCATGGCCAAAGTCCAGCCTGGTACTTCCAATGGAAGCTCAATAGGAGGCGAGATCGACGTGTGGAAGCCTATCAACGGCCAGGTTTTGCAGGGGGAATACATCGATTACGAACTACCATCTTGGGACCGGATCCGGCCCTTGACGATCGAGCTTTCCAAACTCCCTCACCCTGATCGTATTGACCTGTTCGTCAGTCCGAGATCAGCACGACAGCGAGCACGACCACGAGACGCCGAGCATGTCTTTGGCAGCTTCAATCCTGCTGAAGACGGCATCAAGTCCATTACTATACAGCCCACGAATGTCGAAATGGAGACTGCTGAACAGCTTCTTATATCCATCTATTACTACCCGCTGGTAGGCAATCATCAAGTCCCAAATCCAGCAACCTTCCAACTCAGGGCTAGGGCTGAGGCGGCGGAACTATCAAAAGATGTGCCTTTTGACTCGGAACACCGGGACTCTAGGTCTTCAGACGAAGATCAGTGTAAGAATTGTCTTCAGTGGATTCCGAAGCGGACGTTGGTCTTGCATCAGAACTTCTGCCTTCGGAATAACGTTGCCTGTCCAAAGTGCAAACGTGTCTTTAAGAAGGGGTCGGAAGAGTGGGAAAGTCACTGGCACTGCGAGCATGACGATGCCTTTGGAGATTCACCGGCGAGCAAGGCCAAACATGACGCCGTACGTCACGCTGAACAGCAGTGTCTTAACTGCGAATACACTGCCCCATCCTTGGTGGAATTAGCGTTACATCGCACAACTGTCTGCCCTGGCAAACTCATTCTTTGCCAGTTTTGTCACCTCGAGGTACCGCAAGAGGGGGATCCATTCAATCCGTCGGCAGAAACAATCTTGTCCGGCTTGACTGCGCATGAGCTAGCAGACGGCGCGAGAACCACCGACTGCCACTTGTGTAACAAGATCGTACGGATGCGAGATATGTCAGCTCATATGAAGCACCACGAGTTGGACAAAATCTCTCGAAGAAAGCCCGAAATTTGCCGAAACATAAACTGTGGTCGCACCCTACATGGCGTCGGATCTGCTGGAGCTGTTGGTGCCGGAACAGCAATGGGTCAGGGACCCGGGAACGATCTGGGTCTCTGCTCGCTGTGCTTCGGCCCCCTCTACGTCAGCATGCATGACCCAGAAGGCAAAGCGCTCCGGCGACGTATCGAGAGAAGATATCTCAGCCAGCTGATGACCGGTTGTGGTAAAAAGTGGTGTGGAAACGAGTGGTGCAAGTCAGGGAGGATAAATCGTGGACTTGATGCGAAGGGTGGCAGCGCGCAGGCCGCTCTTCCGCTCGTGAAACCCCTCGTGCAAAGCATTCCTGAGATGAAGGAGCCCATGCACTTTTGCGTCGATGAGGCTTCACAACGACGGAGGAGATTAGCGGAAATGCTGGCGAGTGAGGGCGTATGGGACTTTGAATGGTGCATAGCGGCATGCGAAGCGGGCTCAGGAGATTTGGATAAAGCGCGAGAATGGCTGTCCAATTGGGCGCCTACGAGATGATTGAGAAGGCTAGCAGCATTTTTGAGGATACATCGAGGCGTATTCAGAGGCGTTAGCAGGTATAGAGCACGGTTGATACCGTATAGAATTGAAGAGGCAAAAGTGGGACTTAGTTATTGGCGTTGAACAAGGTGGTAGTATGGTTATGATTGCCTCAAAATGAATATTTAAATTCGATTGACATTAGACATTAAAATTGTGCCGCAAAAGGGAATATAATAATATTATAGAATCATTAGTGCTATTAATACAATTCCATATCCGATCCCAGTCTCCTGTGAGGTGGCTTGCAGATACAACCAAGAGTCCAACCGAGCGCTCTAAAGAGGCTGGTATCCGACTGCAGATTGACTAACGTATGGCGGTCTTGCAAAGTTAGCAAGAGTCTCTTTTGCTGGTTCTGATCAAGGTCTTACCTCAGGAGATTACGCGCGCCAACAATGGCTGCAGCTCCACCGGCGTAGATGCCGAGAAGCCTGCTCCAGCCGGCGTTGCCGTAGGCCGATTGACCGACTGACAGCGCAATTAGGTCGTAAACTAGACAGCCTCCAAAGATCCAATCACTGATGCTCGACAACAATCCGAAGCCGACTCCGGTGAGAACCTTGACAGTGGTAGTTGGCTGCTGGTGAACATAGTATGCAACCGAGCCGTTGTGTAGCAGGTCTAACACGCCGATACCAGCAAAGGTTTTTGCAACGACGTGGGTAAGAACCGAGTTGACAGACTTTGTGTTCATGGGCGGAAGACGATTGAAGATGAAGTACAGTTGAGCAAGGCTATTAATGACGACAAAGATGTTTGAAACCTTCAGGTCAGATCTGTTCCAAAAGATCATCCATGCTTTTGAAAACAGTCAGCGCAACTCGAAAGGCACAGATAAATAAAGATTGCTACTCACTAGCAATACAGAAGTTCCCAACAGCGTAGAAGGGGGCGAAGTCAATCATGGTGCCTACATCGGGGGCCATGGGCTCTACTTTGGGGTCTGCCTTATACAGGCGATATAGCCAGGCAAGCTGGAAAAGCTGCTGAGGGAAGAAGAATCCAGCAATGAAGAAAGGCTGAGGCGACCAAAATGACAGGTTGGCGTCATGAACATCCTTCATATTGGGGGTGCTAAGCATGCCGTAGTTTTGAGCTGCAAAGTCGACGGCAAAGGATAGCGGAGCCAACCATTTGGCAGTAGACAGAGAGACGCCCATGATGTGGATTTCGGCTAGCAATATTGTACTCGCAGATTTCGGATAGTTAGTTTTTGAAGAAACAAAATCCTGCTTCGCGAAGCTCACAAAGTTGCGGTCATGGAGGTGGTCTTATTGGGTTGAGGAAGGATGGACTCCCCCCATGACGTTTTCAATTGGAGTCGTAAGTACGTCAGTGGTAGCTGGGTGGTACAAAGCCTCGAGCTCGGGCACTGTAAACTACCGACCTCCGACGTTCCGGCGATTTATGAAAGTTACAAGCTCATGACGCGGACTCTCTAATAATTCCACGTGCGACTACCGCTACTGTTGAGGAATTCTATACGTCATTGATTATCGGTGGCCAGGAAAAGGCCACCGGTTAAGACCCATATTTCCCGAATCACTCTTCTGCACGGTCCGTTCACTAGCCCAGTCCGGGCTTCCACTTCTCACACCTACGCAAGAACTCGGATCGGACCCGACACGGTGATAACTCATCTCTTGGTATAATTTCTATGTCTATGTGCCGTCGCCTCTCACTTTTTCATTGCCATTTCCTATTGGAAAGTATGTCTCTTCGGGTATGTTAACCGTGTCTCCCGCACTGCGCTCCATGTCGCAGTCTAGCTCCAGTTCCAGTTCTCGTAGATTGGCAATGCTATTGCCGTCGCCTGCGGTACCTCTCTTGCCTCGGACGAAGCTTTGATAGGCCGACTCAATACACTCAAAGGATACGTCAGGGTCCTGTCTGTAGAACCTGACCGGATAGAGTAGTATCTTTCATGACCGCTGCCATACTTCGATGTGAGTCGTGGTTCTCGTCTCGTTTGGCCAATGGTTTCGATGGCCCGTGGCGGCGTGTCGATGCTAGCTATACCAAATGGTTGATATGAGCATGGCAGCTTTTGGACCACCTTTCGTAAGGAAGGCACACATGAACAAACGATCAAGGTGCTGATCTCTGCTTCAGACCACAATATTGGGGTTGCAAGATCATCTTTGATGTGTTTCAGCTTTGTTGATTAGTCTTCAAGAGGTAGATTGCTCACGTGTGTCGTCAATTCCCATCTCGGTAACGGAGTGCATGCGAATCACAGAAATAGCGACAACCCTGGAAATGGGTCAGAACATGTTTGCGAGTCCAAATCTCTTCAAGCAACTAGCGAAGCTCAAGAATACATGTGGCACTCACAATAAACCCAATGACAACATGGCGATGAGGCCAAGTCTTTTCACTAGCGGCAGTTGCAACTTCCATAACGTAGGAACTGGCTGTATGAATAAGATCAAGTCGGTGCAGAGATTGAATCCAAACTAATATATTCAGCAGTCAGCATGATATCTTGTTCACTCAAATGCCGGCCATCAGGGTCGAGACTAGGCTTATCACTCACGCCGCTCCACCATAGAACCGGGAGGTCAAGGCAACTCCCTTCCAGACCTACGGTCCAGGCTTTCGCAATCGGTTTACATTGAAATATTGGGATGAGGCTCTCCTCGATGGCCTGACAGCAAAGGAGGATAATTATGGCCCTATTCATCACCACGAGTCTTCGATCTGGTAGCATTCGTATGTAGAGAACGGCGAAGGACATTTTGGCGAGAGCCAGACCGTAGCTGTACGTTGCCGAAGTCGCGATAGTCAACTTTCTTCGAGTCAGCTACTACGAACTATCTTCAGGACCGCAGAGATGATGTATCACTTTGAGGAACTGCTCGTATTCTGAAATACTAATATCATGATGATGTCTGCCAAATCCTGAATGAGCCGCTGCGCATGCTGGTTAGCATCTGACAGCCGCACATGTCAAGTAAATTGCTAGGTCATGGTTAGGCGTTAACTCACAGATCATGGTCGCAGTGAACATGCCCATCGCGAAAACCTGTAAATAAACATTTATCAACTTTCCTCCGCGCAGGGTAGGTCTGGTCGAACGATTTTTGCGTACCCAGCTAGCGGTAATGAGAACTATACACGGCTCAATGATTTTGGTCGAATTCCACTCTCTCATACGTCACATACCGTCATCGAGGCCGCAAGTTCTCAGACTTGTTCTGACGGCCATTCGTATCGAGATAGCCAGTGTAGTAACACATATCATAGCTACCGTCGAGCCAACAAGCGCTTCTACCATATGATCCGCCATGGTATGCGCTCCTGTAGCCGCCAACAAGGCTACGATATTCGCGACATATGCCGCAAATAACTCGAATCCTCAGGGTTCCGAAAGCTTCGTGACGATGGTCGGTACTTCGCAGATAGTGACAAGTGACACTTTACGTCTGCAGAAATAAAAGAGTCTGCGCCTCAGCCCATGATTCTAGGCGTGTAGAATGACTATGAGATGAAGTTCTCACGCTGATAGCAAAAGTGCAGGTGAGAGGGCTCAAGAATTTGACATAAGTCTACCATGCATCATATGACAGGTAAATGATATAAGATGGCGCTATCAACGTTACTTATGCATGGTAGTGGGCGGGTCGAGCTGCAACGAGCAGTGCTCGGCCCGCGCAACATCACAAATTAGGTTTTCCTAATCCCGCCTTGAACTAGTCAGTTGCTCAGCCATGTCCAAGACATTATTTGTTGGGTGGGTTATCGCACGTGGATGATTTGAGTCGAACAGGCTGTCTGCGTCAATGCATTGACCGTCGGAATTGAGTAAAAGCCAAAAGATGGCTATGAAGGTTGCTACCAGAATCAGGTGATTTGACGATGAGAGTATTTAAGCTATGTAGGTTTTGCTTGATCGCGGCCTTTGATCTTCGGGATATGAATTGAGTCTGAGCAACTATTCTCCAGGAACATGCATGTAAGGGAACCTAGTGCCTTTTTCGCTGGGAGGGGAACATCAGACACAAACTCAAATAACAGTATTAGCTCTTGAAGAGAGTTCTATCCAAGTAACTCAGACGAAGCTTTTGTCTTTTAACAAAAAAGCGCGCTAAAGATGTGGTTGATTGAGTTCACAGCGAGCACCAGTACTCTGATACCTTGTCAACGTGGAATCTCTCGGCACATCACCCACGTGCGAGTCGTAGCGGTCCCTGGTCCAAACACATCGGCGTCTCGGTTTCAAGCAGAAGCTCGGAATCAAACGTGAGGTAGCGCCCAATAGAATCGCTCACGATGAATGTTTCTGCGTGGTTGAATGTGTGTATACGTGACTCGGATAAAGTTTGCCCATGGCTTCCTCTGTTCCTGACGTATGTGAATAGTGAAGGTGTAGAATTCACTCGGGAAGCATAGGACTGATGCAATCACGAACGGAGAAGACTACATTGAATGTTGCATCATCACGACAGAGAAAATGATCACAAGGCCGTAGCAACGCAACTATCGCCATTTCTATAATTTAAATGCTTCACTGGCCACAATTGTTAGCCTGGACCCACAGTTCAGAAGTCTAGATCCATTGTCGCTACCCCAAGGCGATCGTTACCTATGTCAAAGTTCAGAAGGTGTGGGGATGACGTTGGGATCAGCGTCCGCGTTTACAATCTTTATCGGCTGAGACCGATTTCAAACGAGTCAGGAAGGCGATAAGCCTGACAATTGATGAATGCGAGTGTAACAGAAAGAGGCACTGCCAACGCTCTAACGTGACATGGTACTTTACTCACTAATTACTTGAATCGTGCTTGTCGAGAGAATCGTATGTATGAGGTCATATAAAAGCAGAACTTCCGTCTTCACTCTATAGAGAGTTGGGATCTTTTGCCTCGCAACTTTGTTGGAGTCATCTGGCAGAAACGAAATATCACGGAAAGACAACAAGCGGCAGGAGCATGGTAAGACTTGAAGAGAGAAGCCTCAACAGTCGGAAGCTATGAGCCCAGGGCGTGTTGACTTGTCGACAAGTGGGTGACTAGGACTTGAATGTTACCTCAATGTTTGTGTGAGCCGGCATGCTGACTTAGTACAAAGTTGTCTCGTTGATGGCAAGATAACGCCAGTTGAGGAACGTTTTCTATACGATCAAAATCATGCATATCAAAGTACTAATGGAGAGAGGGCAGCCAAAGTTTCATCGCTCTTGAAGTCAAGCTCGATGGGCGGAGGACATGTTGATAAGATAGCATCCATGGCAAGAATATTGTACAAATGATGACCACAGCACCGATAATTTCTCAAGTCCATTATCTAGCGTCAGTTCTCAAAATGCAATTTACTTTTTGTACCTAGGTCACGGAAACTCAAGCACCAAACGCTTAGGATGTCAAATACTTTCAGTCGACAATAAGGACATGAGACCGTGAATCATCTGAACAGTTGTGCTGAATTTGTAGAGATATAATCTGATTATACAAAGAATTGAAGATATCCTGATTACATTGAAATGAAATAAGCTTGTCCAGATTTGGTCCTAATCATCTCGTCCTTAAGGAGCGACATGGCTCAACCAAGGGCTGCTAAGGTCGGTGTAGAAACTTGCACCTTTCACCTTTGTTGGTGCTCCAGGTGTGGTTACGTTGCAGTTCTGAATCCAATTACCCTGCTGCTCAAGCTTCGTGGCAACGTATTGCTTGTAATCCTCCAGCCGACAAGAAGAACCAGGACCGCTGTTGCAAGTAGGTATCGGGTAGACAGCATCATTTAGACGAATGCGAACATATGTCGTATTCCGGCTATCTTGGATTTGGGGTGATGGCTGCGTGCAGGTTGATCTTCTGTTCGTTGGATTCCGGCGGGCAACATTGGTGAAGTTGCCATGTGTAGCGTTTCCAGCCCCGGCACAGTTCAATCTCTCAAATGCAATAGTTCCCCGCATTGTTGTGAAGCGAGAACTGACGAATTGACGGCCATCATCCTTTTGCGTACTTGAAAGAGGCTGCTGCTTATCAAATACCCCTGAAGCGGCCACTAACTGATTGAGCTGTCCATCGTTGAGGAAGGAGACGAGAAGCTTTGGTAAATTGAAAGTGCTCCCGTCTTCGCGCTTGCCGGTGACCGAAGGCCCCTGAACAAATATGTCCATCAATGCGTTTAGGTAGGGGGTCATCATGGTCTGAGGCACATCGGTACCAAGGCCGACTCCGTAGTAGTAGCGAAGGTCTTGGAAGTACTCATACTGGAGGTATTCTTCGTCCGAAAAGATATCACACCATGGTGAGAGGCGGCCGGTGATCTGACTTTCAAAACCACAAAGATAGGGTATTTGCGACACATCACTTTGCGTCAGTGAGAGGTTTCCATTGATGAGTGCTTGCAGGCGGGTTAGAATTGGAGGAATGTAGACGTTGTTCCACGCAGTCACGTAGTCGCCTCCCTCCGTATCCTTGAAAGCTGGGCACATATCAGAAGGCGCCAATGAGTCGCCAATGCCAGCGGCAAAGCCTCGAGATGTCACGGAAACGATGTCACCGAGCAAGGTGGCATTGGTTCCCAAGAAACCACGAACAAACAACTTGGCAGTCTGTAGGACGCGAGAATAGTTGTTAGCCCAGACCACGAAGTCTTCGCCTTCAGTGTATAGGCCCGGATATCTAACACGATTAGCACAGATGTTCTGTTGGGTTTGGATGCTATTGAGCAGAACTCACCTGGTTCGCAAAGTGTATCCAAGATCATGAGCCTCTTTGTAGCCCGTTGGACTCAAATTAGCAATTTGAGAAGACGGATTGGCTAGCGCTGTTTGCCACCGCGGCAAAAAGCTCAAGCTGCCAGAGGCAGTATAGTTTCCAGCTTGAAACTGCACAACAAAGTTTCAGCTACAAATCAACACGCTTTAGATGGCAGACAAAGACATTACTGACTCGTTCCTGCATCGAGACCCATCCATTGTAAGCGCCAGTATCTGGATATCTCGATCCATGCCGAGAGATATATGCCGCTTGGTCAACAAAACAATTCTCCGGGATTTCGGATGAGATCTCGTTGACGTTGGGCCCTAACAAGCAACCGAAGGTAAGCGGCGCTGAACGATCCAGTCGAAGGTCGAATGGATAGATGTACCTGCGAACCAAGGGCCATTTGCGCCCAAGTGTTCAAGAGGGTGCTCAGCGGATTCACTGGCCGGTAAATTGATGTCTTGAACTGGCGCAAGGAATCTCGAACTTCCCTCAACCAGGATTGCCGCGAGGCATACCAAGCCAAGCTTGATGGGTGCCATTGTCATTCCTTTTCTGTGCCGTGCAACAAGAGATCTTTGCATTCGACATAAGCTGCCAATTCCTCGTTATATACAATCGTAGTAAGCCATCGGCCCGGTCATTGCCGGCCACGTGCTCTTATCATGTTGTTTACATTCATTCGTCTTGCGTGGGCCATTGTGCTCATTTGGGCAGGGTGTCATTAGCAACACCAGGCACGTGATGAATGCATGAATGTGATTCGACAGCCAGCATGAGGCTGTGGGGAGCAAACGGGGATGGAATCCCAGAAAAGACGTTTTCTCCGTACGCACTTCCACTAGCGTTGCCGACCGCCCTTACCCCAGCCCCCGGGCCTGTTCCCGGAGCGGCGGAGACACTACAACAAACAGCCAAGAGACAGTATGAAAACAGAAAGTTGCTTGAACCGTAGTTTCTTTGCGGAATTGGAAAACGTTGATACCCAATCGCACCCTCTCCGCGAGATCATATTTATGAGCAGCTAGTAAAGGACTAATGAACGGCTAGTAATTCGAGGGGGATGGTCACGGAGACCATCTGCTTGGCCAATCATTTGGATGGCATCGAAATGCTGATGCGCCATAGTGTTGGGAAAAGACATACATTCGGAAA